ACCTGCCATATCGGCTCCTGCGAGGCTCGATGGCGAAGGATGAATCATACTGGTGTGTATATTAGGCGGACCACCTCTACTTTGGCGGCCCGTTACGTCCGCACTTTAACGCAGACACTGAGAAACTACATCATTTTTCTCGCGAATGACAACAGAATGAGCATTACGAATGTAGCTTGGACAACTCGCTCTGTTTTCAGTGCCTAGATTTGCCCCATGCTGACATCAAGCGGAGGAAAGTGTCAAATTTGACGACTGTAGCCGCGACCGGACAGTGCCTCTGCTCTCTTTCCAACTCGTTCATGGTCTTGCATTACAGCTCAGTCGACTTTTGGTTCGTCGGCGTCGATTGTGAGACGTCAGAGGGAAGTGAAAATCGAGAAGCTTGATTTAATTTGACGAACAAGGCAGGACCGTAGTAGGCGCAGCTCGAGAACCACAAGTTATAGACGCCGGGCGAATAGACAGTGCTGCCGGCGCCGCTCGAGAGCTGGCTTTCCCCACGCTATGTAAAACCAAGGTGGAAAGCGCAGTCACAGTTAGATCATGCCCGTGCGTAGTTCGTGGTGTTACGATCGCCTTACAACACATCAGGTGAGGACACACTGTGTGACACTGTCTAAGTCTATAAACAAAGGCAGTGGGCTTAGGTTCTGCGAAAGTGCTCAACGCCTGATTCAGGCCGAGCAGCGTACACAAGGGCGCACAATGAAAACCTTGGGCAAAGTCCGTTGTGACTCAGAGTTTCATGGCAGAAAGCAATCGATCTGAACGAATCAATCGTTGTCTGATGTTTGGTTCAGCCATGAAACTCTGAGTCACAACGGAATTTGCCCAAGGTTTTCAGTGTGTGCCTTTTGTCTGAGTCTATCGTTATTGACGAGAACTCGTAATCGTTCAAATGGGTAAAGCATGGCGGATTCAACCATGCAAACATGTACACACTGTACCACCATCGACATCAGATGCAATCAAGAGTACATAACCCCCAAGAGTGTGCAACTGCCTGCACAGCCTCTATGTAGTGCTGCGACGGCAGAACTTCACATCACGTGACATGGTTCAAAAGGTTACACTGGCAAACAGAGCAAAGTGACCACAAGAGAGTTGTACCCAAAGCTGGGCTGCATACAACCCTCTATCAATAGATGATAGCAAGAGTACATAACCCAAGAGTGTGCAACTCCAGATGGGGTCTGCGACGGCAGAACTTCACATCACGTGATGAACCCGTACACATTATTTGCACTCTGCGCATGATAGATACAGGGTTGTACGCAGCCCAGCTTTGGGTACAACTCTCTTGTGGTCACTTTGCATGTTTGCCAGCATAACCTTTTGAACCATGTCACGTGATGTGAAGTTCTGCCGTCGCAGCACAGCATAGAGGTTGTGCAGGCAGTTGCACACTCTTGGGGTTATGTACTCTTGATGATAGTAGAGAGGTTCCGCACTACGTAAAGTTGAGCAACTTTACGTTAGCGGGCGGGAAAAACCCGTGAATTCGCGAGTTTGCACTCTACTTACGGAAAGTTGTCTACGTAGAGTACGTAGATAGGGCTCTGATAACGTAGCTGGTCCGTAAGTGGATTGGGGTACAAATTGATGACTCTTTCCCCAGGTCGATCTGGTCGTACACTGCGGCGTTCGGAGTTGCCAAGGGCAGCTACGTGATTTGAAAACTCCGTATGGCGGAACCCAGATCCGCATACAGTTTATGTAAGACTTTCCGTAGATCGACTACGTTTTTTACTAACGTAATTACGTTATGCGGAACCTCTCTATTATGCCAAATAACGTGCAACTAGACTTGAGAGGGCATCACACACAAGTTGCATACACATTATACTACAATGTGTACATGGCAGGCGCTGAGCTCTGCAGGATTGCAAGTCACAGGTACCCGTACAACTTTGAACTTTGTATGCAACTACTCTGCAATGCCCTCCCAAGTCTAGTTGCACGTTATTTGGCATATCATGCACAGAGTGCAAATAATGTGTACGGGTTCATCATGTGATGTGAAGTTCTGCCGTCGCAAAGCCCATAGCTGGAGTTGGACACTCTTGGGGGTTGTGGACTCTTGATGCAATCATTGCCGCAGTATATGTATATTATAAATAGGCCCAAACTGGCTAGCCGCAGCTACAGCTTGAGCATACCGCGCACAGGAATCTACGTTGTATGGCGAGTGCGCACGGCGTAGCGTGAGTTGTGTCGAGGTTTACGTGGTGTAGGAGTAGAATGGACTAAACTGGCTAGCTACAGCTACAGTTTGATCGTACCGCGCACGTCAACGCACGTTGTATCGAGAGTGCGCATGCCGGGGACCGCCCCGTAGCGTGCATCATGTCTAGGTTTACGTTATGTGGGATTACGTCGTGTAGAACAAATTTCGTATGGTGGTGATGCTGTTTCGGTGCGGGATTTGATTTTTAGGGATCAGCGAGTTTTACGTGCAGGTGAGAGTTGTTGTATCGAGATCAGACCTAGAGTGACAATGAAGATTTTGTAAATAGGTGCACGCAGCTGCTTCGTGCCACCACTCAAACTATGCTGCTATGATTGCTAGCGCTGTTACTGCATGCTCATTCTTTGCAGCTTGCTACGGTCACGTGCATAGCGCATCACAGTAACCATGTCGAAAGAAACAAGATGGTGGATGCACATTCCCTCAATGTGACCGGCCCCTTATGCCAAAGCATAGTTTTTAGACAAAATTCCAGAAATTTCACCATCATAATTCGTCAAGTCTAGATCGCTGGACATCGCCAACTGGGAACTGAACCCGGGACCTCTCGTACATGAGGCATGGACACTACCACTCGGCTAACAGACCTGAAGACTCAAGGTACAGGCCATTAGGCTGCTTACAAACACACTAGTTTGTCATTCATGGGGCAATGAGTGCATCCTATGACGTACTAGTATGGAGTCCCCTTTCAAACACTTTTCTCTTTCTCTCTCTCTCTCTCTCTCTCTGAGAAGAAGTTTGGAGGCTTCCTGCAGGTCCATAGTAGACACAATTGGGTGAACTCACCCATTCCACAATACTCTGCAAATTTCCGAACCATTCCATTATATACAACGTTTCAGCCAATGGCCTCCTTCAGGTAGTCAATGATGTCCCTAAGGCTGCAAACGGGCGGTTTAAGTATGTGCCTGTTCCGCCCGAAGCTCGCGATCTATTCTGCTAACGGGGAGGCGGGAACCCCCCCCCCCAAAAAAAAACAGGTGTAAAGCTGGCCTGCATTCATGATGTTGCGTTGGATGGTAGCAAAGTACGAGTCAAGCGCAAGGCAGGGCTCTATCTCTATCCCTCTTAGTTTCCTCTGTCTCTGCCTCTGTTTCTCTCTATCTCTATTTCTTCCTCCCCCTCTCTCTCTGTCACTCTCTGCCTCTCTGTCTCTCTCTGTCTCTCTCTGTCTCTCTCTGTCTCTCTCTGTCTCTGTCTCTGTCTGTCTCTGTCTCTGTCTCTGTCTCTGTCTCTGTCTCTCTCTGTCTCTCTCTGTCTCTCTCTGTCTCTCTCTGTCTCTCTCTGTCTCTCTCTGTCTCTCTCTATCTCTCTCTCTCTCTTTCTCTGTCTCTCTCTCTCACTCTCTCACTCTCTCTCTCTCTCTCTCTCTCTCTCTCTCTCTCTCTCTCTCTCTCTCTCTCTCTCTCTCTCTCTCTCTCTCTCTCTCTCTCTCTCTCTCTCTCTCTCTCTCTCTCTCTCTCTCTCTCTCTCTCTCTCTCTCTCTCTCTCTCTCTCTCTCTCTCTCTCTCTGTCTCTCTCTCTCTCTGGTCTCTCTCTCTCTCTCTCTCTCTCTCTCTCTCTCTCTCTCTCTCTCTCTCTCTCTCTCTCTCTCTCTCTCTCTCTCTCTCTCTCTCTCTCGCTCTCTCTCTCTCTCTCTCTCTCTCTCTCTCTCTCTCCTTTCTGTGTCTCTCTCTGTCTCTCTCTGTCTCTCTCTGTCTCGCTCTGCCTCTCTCTGTCTCTCTCTGTCTCTCTCTGTCTCTCTATGTCTCTCTCTGTCTCTCTCTCTTTCTCTCTGTCTCTGTCTCTGTCTGTCTCTCTCTCTCTCTCTCTCTCTCTCTCTCTCTCTCTCTCTCTCTCTCTCTCTCTCTCTCTCTCTCTCTCTCTCTCTCTCTCTCTCTCTCATCAGTTGCTGTGAACACCTTGAGTGGAGAGCGCTTGCTCGAGCGTTGAACCGGGTTCTTAATCCACCATACCCAGTTCGCAAGGCTGGGCGGGGTTGTGAGCAGGCTTTCATTTCATCTTATCTTATTATTCCTTATTATTTCTGCTTTTCATCTCATTACAAAAATTCTGCGCTTTTTCTCCATCTGCGCATAAAATCTAGACTGACAACCTGCTTGTTAAATCATGCACCTGCTTTCAGGCGTAAAAACCCTGTTGTAGAGGTCTCAGTCCTCATTTGTTAGACTTACCTGTCTTTATAAATGTAACTTACTCTCTCTCTCTCTCCATCTCTCTCTATTGAGGTGCGTTTATTCTCTTTATCTTATTATTTCTTTTCTATCATTTCCCCTTGATTATGAGTTCCTATCAGTTGCTGTAAGCACCTTGAGTAGAGAGCGCTTGCTCGAGCGTTGAACCCTGGTTCTCAATCCCACCATTCCCGGGTTGTGAGCAGGCTTTCATGTCATCTTTTCACATTATTTCTTAGTTATTTCCGCTTTTCATCTCATTACAAAAATTCTGCGCTTTTTCTCCATTCGCGCATAAAATCTAGACTGACAACCTGCTTGTTGAATCATGCACCTGCTTTCAGGCGTAAAAACCCTGTTGTAGAGGTCTCAGTGGTCATATGTTAGACTTACCTGTCTTTATAAATGTAACTTACTCTCTCTCTCTCTCTCTCTCTCTCTCTCTCTCTCTCTCTCTCTCTCTCTCTCTCTCTCTCTCTCTCTCTCTCTCTCTCTCTCTCTCTATCTCTCTCTCTCTCACGCTTTCTTTCACTAGACTGCATTTCTGACCAGTGATTCTGGACAATCGCCGTGGAAAACCGGCCATGAGTGCCAAGGCTAGAGTAGCGGCAATGCTCCTGCCCACGTTTAACATCCTTGTTATTGTGGCTGGCAGCATCCATCTCGGTCAAACAGGTAAGCAAGTTTGCTCAAGTATCAACTGCAAACAAAATATTTAAAAAAACACAGTTGAACAAAATACATTAGTTATTGAATCAGAGCAATGCATAATATTATGCCGGACACGGACATAGCCGCTTTACTGAGCACATCACACTTGCACTTCCATCCCACTTTTCGAATATTACAAAAGCTACAAGACTTTCTGTCTGCCTGAACAGATCTGGTTTGATTAATGAAGTAAATGCGAATGGCGTCTGAAACTTGTCTGGCTTATATTTTGTATTGTAGGCTGTATGCATGGACGATGGATTCTCCGCAGCGCTTAGGCTATATCAATTCAGTATTAATATCACTATATTCCGCTCTCTTCTAGGGGTGTGCATGGGTAGTCGGGTACCCGCGCTACCCGTGAGGACCTCGGGTACACGGATACAGAAGAATAGAACCCGAAAACCCGAAGTCGAAGATCACATCACGCACGGTGCACGTGTACAAATTCACGTAAATACTCCGCAGGTCTACCCAGTGTGTAAGGGAAGGGGTGCACTGTGGTGTTACCGTGGGAACATTATCCGGTAGGAAAAGAAGTCGAAGATCACATCACGCACGGTGCACGTGTACAAATTCACGTAAATACTCCGCATGTCTACCCAGTGTGTAAGGGAAGGGGTGCACTGTGGTGTTACCGTGGGAACATTATCCGGTAGGGTACCCGTGCTACCCGTGTAACAATACCCGGACCCGATAATGTTACCTGACACTGCATTACTTTATTCATTATTGAGCTAACAGTTGCACATTCTGAATCACAAATATCTAGCAATACGTCCCGGTATTTGGTTCCACAACAGATGAATATCGGCATGTATGTGTGTGTGTGTGTGTGTGTGTGTGTGTGTGTGTGTGTGTGTGTATGTTTGTGTTTTGTGTGTGTGTGTGCGTGTGTGTGTGTGCGTGTGTGTGCGTGTGTGTGTGTGTGTGTGTGTGTGTGTGTGTGTGTGTGTGTGTGTGTGTGTGTGTGTGTGTGTGCATGTGTGCATGTGCGTTCATGCGTGCTTGTGTGCGTGTGGTATCTCTTCACCTCATAGCTGTTATAACTACGCGCCCATTGTCTACCACACCAACATCCACGCCAAGTCCAAATGACAAACCAGCCACTCTTCGCAACGTGTCTACCACTTCGGGATCACCAGAACCTATTGCCAGGACAGCTAATCTATCCGAGTCCAACCAAACAAGACTTCAGAGCGAAGGGATGTCGCGGAGCAAGAGTGCAGTGGAGATTATCTCTGCAACGTCAAGTTCAGCGGAACCTGCAGGCCTCGGAGCTAGAGAAGAAAATCTGCATTTTCAGATCGTAGCACATGACCATGGCAGTCCAGACAGCGGCAACAAACCTGCAGTATATCCAGGAGAAAATGTTGAGAAAACTGACGCTAGCGTTGGTCCAGCACAATCTGCAAATGAATCACGTGCTGTGCCGCTGGCCAAAGTTGCCAACCACCCCACCGTAAATCAAAGTACTAGCTATGAAAATCAGTCCAGCGTCAGCACTGCAGAGAAGGAGTCCACGTTGCTAACCAGAGTCGAAAACCGTGAGACGGACGTTATGCCGGTATCGCCACCTAGCTCTACCAAGACCAAGACAGACGGGAACAGCACCGCTAATATTAATAGTATACGGAATCACACCAGCAGCAGTACTGGTGAGTGTAGAAGTAGTGTTCGTGTCCTGCCATTATAGGGCTTGAAAATGCTAAGTCACAGCATAGCAGCAATTTTAAAGATTCAAAAACTGAATCCGCGTGGATTCAGCTTTCATCTGAATCCTAGCACATTTCAAGCGGTCTTACTCACAGCAAGGTGATATAGCCGATGAAATTGACAGCAAGGTGATACAGCCGGTGAAATTGACTGCTTTGGCTAATATCAAGAGTACATAACTCCCCAGAGTGTGCATCTCCGACCCAGCTCTGCATAGGGTCTTGGTCGAGCGGAGTCGGATCTTCTGATGTCATGCGTACACTCCACACCAGCGCAAGGCCGGTCTCGAGGCAGGGTACCATTGTTTTTGATCCAAGAGTACCCGCGACTCTCCGGGTTCCCCTCAGATGTGTACAATATTATGACACAAAGATCCGATTACGCTCGGCCAAGACCCTTTGCAGAGCTGGATCAGGCGTAGCACACTCTGGGGGGGGGGTTATGTACTCTTGCTAATATGGGCGGGGTGACAACTGGTGGCGAAGTAAAAGTCACACCTGCATAAGACAGTGGTGGGTTGGTATGCACCCACATGCAGAGTCAATAGCAAAGTCAAGCCTTAGTGGATCCACAAATTGGAAATCGGATGCGAAGTTACTACTCCCTGGCCGCTTTAACGTCATCTCTTCTATCCCTAATACAGCCCTAGCAGAAGTGAGACGACGGGGGGGGGGGGGGGGGGGGATAATCGGAACCAAAAAGTTGTTCTTTTTACTGTCGTTTTGTGCCACCACTTTATGCTGTTCTACTAAATGGTACTCAGGTGCATTTGAAAATTATGGACCTCTCGTTTCCTCGCCTACCTCACCATGCCGCAGTTTAACTGCACTCTCCAACCAACCTCGGCACATCCGTGCTGTTGCTCGCCACCCTATGCACGGGCGTCGGAAGGCATTTTAGTGTGGTACGGTCAGCCATCTGAAGCACAATTTACTCGTGGGGGAGGGATGGCTGAGCCGAACACTTTAGAGCCAAAATCAGAGCAGTTTATTGATTTACAGGGTACTTTAGGCAAATAGTTGTACGGTCAATACCGTATTGACCGTACCGTGTGCGACGCCCCTGCTATGTACCAGCGCTCTTGCATATCTTCTTGTTGCTTTTGACCCTCGTAGGTGACATCGAAAGAATCATTGCATATTGGTCTCAGCTCTGGTCGGTGCTAATTCAAACTAGATTTGAACAAAATTTCATACTGTAAAACCGGATATTGTAACGTTTTTTAAAGTTAACGAAATCCGGATTGTTGTGGGCCAGCGAGGTGAAAAATTCTAACGAATTCTGGGTCAAAACCGGCAAATTACGGTACATGTACATATCGTTTTGTTCGTAAGGGCTTGAAATGTAAAAGTTTTTTTTTAAATTCGTTTAATCTAGGGGTGAAACGAGTATATCGAGTACTCGAGCACTCGGTCGACAATTTGAAAAGAGCGAGTACTCGTTTCGCGAAAAATACTCGAAGCATACCATGCACTATTGTATGCACGTACATCAAGTACTAGTACTAGCATTGCTCTGACCAGTACTTACAGCCCAGGCAAGGGCGCCTACTGCGTCCTATACTAGCACCTCTAGATCTGAGTCTTGTGAAGGTCCAGTGCTTTTTGATAGTAACAAGTTGTGAGAAGTGCTTGGCAAGACTTCATGTATCGGGTGTACTACGTTAGTGGTGCGAGAATGTGTGCAGTGCATTGCTTATGTTGTCAGTAAAATACTCATACTCGCTCGAATACTCGCTCGTTTTTTCAACGAGTACTCAAGTCCTTGATTTCGGAACTCGTTTCACTTTAATCGTCAGAATTATAATTATGTTGGTTACCATTCCTGGTCTTACAGTAATAATTACCTTGTCTCTACAATGTGATTGCCGTAGGATCGAAGGAGAAGAACCGGCGTAACCTTTGGTGGTTGGCAGGCGGCGGCGCGGCGTGTTGTGTAGTTGCTCTGGCCCTGCTTGTCAGGGTGCGTACAAGGCGCAGATCAAAGCATAAATTCCAGCGTTGCGGGTCGAAAATGAGTCGGGCCGACACTCCCTTTGCCCTCATCAATATTATAGACAGGTAAGCGGTGTGACACTGTGTAATGGTTGAATAGACCCATTTGCGCAGTGCCAAATATGGAATGTATGAGTAATGCTTGTGAGCATGCTGGGATCAGGAACGCACTGTTCAACACCCCAGACGACCATGCCCATGTGGCTGTGAGCCGTGTTTATGGTACAAATGACGTCATTGCGGAATGGGTCCATTAGCAGGGCCAAGGGTACTGACATGTTTGTCCCTCTGAATCAACTCTCTTAGAACCAAATGTTGTAAAGTTGGTCGACAAGCCGTTGATTATCCACTCTCATTGTGATATCAAAAAAGTATTCTTTCTAGACCAAAGAGTTGTGTATTTGATAAATAAATAAATAAATATTTATGATACTTCTCCACACGTTTCGTTGTTCTGAACAACATCGTCATTCTTTGGTCTAGAAAGAATACATTTTTCATTCTAAATGTTGTGATGAATTTCGAATGTCAAACAACGGAAAACATCGAAGATGCTCTCCTATTTTCCTGGGGCAGTAGGAATCTGGCGGTATTTTCAGTTTTAGTCGACCTGTGAATCTCCTAAAGTACTCGACTCCAAATGCTTTCAGCCATGCATCTGCCCTCAATCCCTGTTTTTTTACAGCAGGTTTGATAGCAATAAGACGTCTTCACCATTGTGTTTGATAGCAATAAGACGTCTTCACCATTGTCTCTGATGCAGACTATGATAATTTGCTTGCAACGTACACCTTAACTTATGTGCAACTAGATCGACAGATAGGAAAATGACAATATGCACTAAACATGCTTTATCACTCCCTTAGTATTGACTCACATAGATTTTTGCCATACCTAAGCAGTCAAATATTCCTGCATATTTCACTCCTTAGGGCTATATTGACTGCTTATATTTGACTGCTTAGGGGTTGCGCAGTTGAACAGTGCCTAGTGCAGCATTGTCACTGCATGAGTAGGTGGTGGTGCAACGGTTGTGCAATCATAAAACCGGGATTCTTGAGGTTATCGTTCTGGAATTTGAAATACGGACTGTTTGTCGTGATAAATCTAATATTGACTTCGTACTTGGTCAGTACAGTCGACCTACCCTTATAACGATATTTGCGTCAGACCAAGAAATATTGTTATAAGGGTAATATTGTTATAGGGGTAACTGGTTCATTTCATACACATATTATGTCATAATGCATGGATTTTGTTCATTTTTTACACTCTTCATAGCATAAAAACTGACATACATGCACATTATGTACACAGCAAGGTGCCCACTGGTGCCCCCATTGCATTTCGTCATGTCCCAGCGACTTATCAAGTGAAGCTTGCCCTACCTGTATAGTGGGCTCTACATCTTCCCTGCTAGATAGTGTTACAAAATGGAAAATGTTGATTGATCAGGCCATTTTATATCGTTATAGGGGTAATATCGTTATAGCGATATTGTTATAAGGGTAGGGCATTGTATACAAAAGTCAATGGAGTGATTTGGTTTGGCAGAAAAATATCGTTATAAGGGTAATATCGTTATAGAGGTTATCGTTATAAGGGTAGGTCGACTGTATAGGAAATAAAAACCTCGTAAAAGACCTCGGCTTCGCCTCGGTCTTTTACTCGGCTTCGCCTCGGTCTTTTACTCGGCTTTTATTTCCGATATTGACCTCGTACTCAGTCAATATTAGATACTTATTGTTAGCATGTTCACACACACGCACGCACGCACGCACGCACGCACGCACACACACACACATACACACACACACGCATACATACGCACACATGCACACACATGCACACACACAAACACACACACACAAACATACACATTCACACATGCACACATGCACACATGTACACAGGCGTGACTTGGCAGTTCGGTCGGCAACCAGCTTTCTCCCAACTTTGTACCTCAGCTCGACAGCTGCGTCTGGCCATAATAGAACACCAATGGTTAACCACCGCCAAGAAGTACAAATTGAACAGGACAGGGGCCAGTATGCAGTCCTGCCACTGTTGTTGACGTCGATGTTGGACGTGAGGTTGCCATCCACGCGCACGTTCACCTGCATGGTCACACAAACACACACACACACACACACACACACACACACACACACACACACACATACACATACACACATGTCCACACACACACACACACACAAGCACACACAAACACACACACAAACGCACACACGCACACACACACACACACAGTACCCGTGAAGCACGGGAAAGTCGACTTTAAACTATCTGAGTATGGGGCCATCTAACTTTGGACATTGTAGATCATATGTAGCCAACTTGCTAGACAGTTGGTCACAATGGCAACCCCTTTGCCCGTATATCACTGTATCCTGCAATGCACATCCTCCAGCATTGAGATCTAGAACAGTTTGGGAGATTGGAAACAACCGTAGGGATTTCAAACTTCTAGAAAAATGATGTCATTTTCATGTTGTTGTCTCGAGCGCGCCTCTTATCGACACCATTGATGTGTGGTTCATTCGCTCCACTCTCTGCGACAGGCCTCAAGAACAGTGCCCGCCTTCTAGGTCGGGCAGTCCAATCTGTGGAAGAGCGGATGACACACCAGGCAGCCCAGCTGCTGTTGGCACACCTGGAAGAGTACGCCGCAGAGGGTCCGTAGAGCAACGGAGAGGAAGCAAACTAGAACGGTATGTTGCCTAGGTAATGTAAAAGTTGTAATTTTAGCACTGGAGTGGAAAGCCAAGAATTAAAATGGAGAAAAGAGAAAGACCAAAGTTGTAAAGTTATATGTTGTGTGTGTGTCCAAAACTGATAAATATAAGCAAGATATACTCAATGATGCAGACAGCCAGACTGTTTTGGCCAATGATGCCTCATCAGTGCAACTCCGAGCTTAAAATAGGATTGAACTGTCAGCCATGGCTACGAGAATCACAGACATTAGGACAGCTCGATGTACTAGCGCTGAGAGTGCTAAAACTGCTAGAAGCAGCGGGCAAAGCATAAAGCTAACCAGCGCAAGTGCGTCCTATTGAGAGTGCTCTACAAGATCGAAATCGAGCAGCGAAATACTCAATGATGCAGACAGCCAGACTGTTTCGGCCAGTGAGGCCTCATCACTGCAACTCCGACAGCCATGGCTACGAGAAGCAAGATATCGATATAATTATTATACTTGAACAATAGGACACACTTCAGGCTCCTGAACGTTTTGAAAGTTCTCACTAGTACACTGTCATGCCGCATCATCAGGTGAAATACAGGCAAAATCAAATGAACAAAGACATCAATTAAAGTGCAGCAGAGAGGCGATAGAAACTGTGCAACGAGAAGAATACGAGGAACCCGAATTGTGCGACTTCTGACATGTTCTGCTCGTCTGTCTGCCACAGTAAAATTCCGGGATTACATCATACCTGGTTCAGATCAGTGGCGAGAAGTGGCGCAGGGCATATAACTGAGCTGCAGTTCTGCAGAAAGAAACCTGCTTGAATCCTGGCTTAATGCACTACAGTACTGTCTGGCGCAGAAGTACGGAGCGCCGAAGAATTTCATCAAGCACAACATACCAATGTATACACGGTGACTCAACTGTGCATAGACTGTGGTACATAGAAAAAGGAACGGTCTAGGCTAGGAGGCTGACTCCCTAGTTCTTCGGCGATCGACAGTACTGTACATCACAAAAGTTACGTAATCGTGGAATTTCGCTGTCACGGCAACCCATCATAGCTGCACACACTGAGTGCGATCAGATACACACTTGAATCGATTCAAGTGCATTCAAGTCGTTCGACTTTCATGTAATGAGCCCTGGAATCGGTTCGAATCCATTCACCCTATTCACACGGGGTGATGTGAATAGCGCGAAGAGATTTGTGAATGGATTCATGAATTGATTCTCGGGCATAATCGATCGCACTCACTGGGTTAAATGTATTATAACATCTAAGCATCACAGCCTGACATAATAGTGGGGGGAGGAGGATTGGGAGGCAGGAGGGGATCAAAATTGAACATGTTCTACGAAGTTGGGATCAAAATTGAGCATGTTCTACGAAGTTTGGGATCCTATTGTAGCAATTTCACTGAATGCTCCGAATATTTTGAACCACTGTGGCCCAAACCTTGAATTTTGAAATGTGGGGGTTCAACCTGTTATCAAAATTAATGTGACTTTAGTTCTGATAGGCGAAATACAGTTGTATGTTTGGATGTTAATTGGCTATCTAAACTTTCGTGAAAGGGTTTTCTGCCCACGCTGGAGCTTGTGCTACCGCCATTTCACATTCTTAAACTGTTACTTTTGTTGCATGACTATGTCTTCCTTAGGTCTTTGAGCAGCATATCTAGTGTTGCGCTGTCACCTGACATGATGTCAAGCTGTCTTCCCCGTGTCTCACCCTACCATGGGGGTGGGCTATCCAAGACACTCTCACTGGATGAGTGCAACATGAAGCGATTCCGGAGCAACTTGTACGCGTCCAATACGTGGAGCAACCGTAGCCACAAGCATGCAAATCCACACCAGCGATTGCACGGCATGAAAAACCTGGGAAGGTAGGGTACAGTTGCAACTTTGTTGTTTTCTCTCTTTCCCTCTCTTTCACTCACTATATCTCTCTCTCTCACTCTCACTCGCTCTCTCTCTCTCTCTCTCTCTCTCTCTCAATCTCACTCTCTCTATCTCTCTCCCTCTCTCTCTATCTCTCTCTCTCTCTCTCTCTCTCTCTCTCTCTCTCTCTCTCCTTCTCTCTCACTCACTCTCTCTGTCGCTTTCTATTTTCAATCTCATCATTTGATTATTCAGCATGATGTTGCAGGGCCCCATACCTCAAGTAATACTAATAAATTGGAAATAATGGAGAGGAAATAATGCTGCAATGTTGTTGGTCGTATTATGTGACAATACTTAAAGTGTTGGAGTTCTGTTTCTGGTCGCTGAATGTCACGGATGTCACTGTAATGTAAAACTCCCCTGGTCGGGGCGGGTTGAGACCGAGCCCTGCCTGTAACGTTGAACTGCCTTGAGCTTTGAACATGCATGCATGTACTGCATGCGAGTAAGCATTTTTCTATGACAGTCTATAGTTTTGTGTAGCCTTGGTTTCAATGAAAGGCCATTTCGTGATTTCAGAAAGGTTCAGAAAGGTGTCCGGTAAATGGACGTGCCCAAATTGTTTTATCTCTCTATTTTTTACAAAGAACACAAACCCGGCTCGAGACAAAAATCAATAACAAGAAAGATAACAAAGTTTCATGCAGGGAGAACGAAGGAACGACTAGAACACAGAAGTTGAGGGTTGACAGAACAAACAACTACTAGTCAGGGCTGACTACGAGTATCCACTAGGGCAGCTGTGTAGATGTGGCATTAGGGTCGTCCTGATCTGCGGAGTTTTGATATGTTTTTTTTTTATTGTACACGTTTGGCACACAGTGATGGGATTTTGCTTTTTATTGGTTTCTTTTGCCCCCCCCCCCCCCCCACTCTTCCCTCCTTTCAGCACTGCACAGGTTGGCTTGTTAATTTTGTTACGTTTCCGGCACTTCACTTCCCTGACTGCTTTGTGTTATATTGCCAAAAACATGTCGCTCAACACGTGACGGATTTAGTTGGGGTCATATGGTCACGTATACCCCCCCCCCCCCACCCCTCGTCGGGATTATTTTGTTGGTTCACTTTTTAAGACCGTCACGTGCATATGCATGGTGTCGGCAAATGTCCCTTGCCGAGTGCTTGACAGTTTTTGAATGCGTAGTACACCCAATGCTGCAGACAGCAAGCTATTTCGGCAATAAAGGCCTCGTCAGTACAGTCTGAGCAAGAAATAATGCTTCTGCTGGCTCTGTCATTTGCAATCCTTAAACTGGTCTTACCTCTCCACGCAATTTCAAATTTGGACTTCACGGAGAATTTCAAAGTACTTGGTCTGGCTCATCGCAATTGTCGCTTATCTCCCACGCACTTTTTGACAGGTAAAACCCAGTCCAATCACGATATCTAACTTACTTTTGCTTGGGAGGTTGTGATGGCAAGATCAAATGAGGCACCAAAGAAAAAATGATCGCGACTAGCGCTTTGAATCGCGATGTGTTCGACTTTTTTGGGAAGTGGAAATCTGGCTATACACTGTCTGTGTTGCCAAAGGCCAAATGCAGCGACCCGAAGACCGGAACTGTAGCAGGGGCAACTGACATCCTGGAGAGCGTGACAGGCACGCGTGCACGGCAGAGGAGTATGAGCGTCATGCTGAAGAAGAAAGGTGTTTTGATGCGATGCGCGCATGCAAGGGACGTTTTGGTTGTTCCTTTTGTTCCTTCGTGGACCTGGCAGCAGCATTACAAGAGTCGTCGTCAGCGTATCCAGTGGAGGGTATGACAGCTGTCTGGAGAGGCCTGTACGCCTCATTCCAAGGCTCTGTTGAAACACACTGTGGTGACATACAGGTCACACTGCCCACGGTTCCTTCAAGCACCGGAGTGACAGACACAACTGTTTCTTTCCCATTGCTGCCATACGACAGGCTGACAAAACAAGAGATACTCTGCCAGTCGCTAGCAGCTAGACACCAGCAATTTAATGTCAGCTCATGTAACGGCGGCAGCTCGAGTGATGGAGAGTTGAATGAACTCTGGACCTGTAAGAGTGTGAATGCAAGAACGCGCTCCTTCGCTGATTTATTTCGTGCATTTTGCTTACTTTGCTTCCCGTCTATGACTCGCTTCACCTGATTCCATGGCTGAATTTTTTTTCTTCTGGCGGAGAGTATTCATGTATCATGCTTCCTCACTATGCCTATTGAAAATTTCACAGAGCGGCCACAAAACGCCTGTTCTTAGTGGCGATAGATAAGCGACAATTGCGACGAGCCTGACCAAGTATTAGGAAATTATAGGCCACATGCCACGTACTGCTCTTTGCTCTCCGAAACTCAACACTTGCACCATTGGTAAGAGCTTGGCTTGCGAATAGCAAAGTCCTGGGTTCGAGTCCCTTTGGTGTGATTGATGATCTTTTTTTCTTTTTTTCATATCTGGCTTGCATGTGTTGAGTTTCGGACAGAAATGAGCAGTACGTGGCATGTGACCTCTAGCCTCCTATTACCTCTCCACTGTTCAAATATCCCTTTCTTTTTCGCTTTTATCATCGACAGAACATTCGACCTAAGTAGTGCTTGAAATGATTGTGTTTTTGTCTTCATTTGGTGAAACAATCAATCTCGCATCTAGTAGAGGAGGAACCATTTAAGTGCGACTCCCTCTGAAACCTGTGAACGTAGTTTAGGCAAAGGGAGCCAGAGTTGGTACGTAATCACAGCCATTCCGTTCCCCGGGACGCAGGACACAAAGGACAAGACTAGTTAGTTTTACATTATATTGTTGACAAGACGGAAATTAAGACTACAATGAACGGGACGAACAAGAAGACTGACAAAAGGACTCTCGACTACAAAATCGCGCATGCTCACATCACACATGCATGCGACTAGGCGAGACAGTTTGGGAAATGCCATCACACAGAAAAACAACACATCATTTTACAACAGAGTGTAGTAGTGCAGCCAGCAAGACCGTCTTCAAATGACCCGGATGCACTCTTCCCTGAGATACTAGTCTCCGCACCATTGTCTGTCCTTATTCTTTTCGAGCTGGTTATGTGATCATAGTTTAAAAAAAATTAAAAAATAGATATACCACTAGTCATGGTTGAATGCCAAGTACCTTATTTATTTATTTATTTTATTTATTTATTTAATTATTTATTTATTTATTTATTTATTTCACCTTCCCGTGACCTTAACCATGATAACTCTTGATGGGTCTTCTGTTTTTTACAATGCACTTATTCTTCTGTTGATTGTTGCGTTTTTTTGATTGCTGATGCAGATTGCTGAACCAATCTGCTAGCATGGATACTATTGACAGCGAATGCAGTGATTCACAGTACTCCATTCCCTGCTCGGACTTGATTAAGAAGTCGGCTAGTGCTCACCGCAGTCAGACGAACCATGATGCGGCCAGTGGGTTTGACGCATGTTCAACACCTCCGACATCTGCCAATGGCAAAGGCAGCGCATTAGCGAGAGAAAGCACGTTGAAATGGAATTCGTTCAGTTCCTCAGCCGATGCTGACATTGTAACCGAAAACAGTCAGCTAGCTTCGTGGCGCACACAATTCAGCAGGGACTCAACAATGGAACTCGATGCCAGCTGCACCGAACATGATTCCCAACTTGAACGCTCGGTGGATACTCGCCTCAGACCGGTGCTCAGCGAGAGCGAAGGAAGCTGCGAGGCCACGGAAATTTACTCCGTGCCACTTGACGGCAAGCAGTTTAGCATGGGAATGAGGTCAATGATGGCAGGCTATGACTGGGCCCAAGAAAGCGAATGCGTGGGCCAATCGGCCTCCCCGGCTCACACCGACTGGCCCCTCTCTGAATCCTATTGTTACGTGGGAATACCAGATGAACTGGAGCTCTCAGCTTCGAACTCAGTGGAAGACGATGTGAGTGTTGAACTAGACAAGCTCTGCACTGACGTCGGATGGGACGTCTTGGCACCTGGTCAGGATAACAATGTCCTTGGTTCGAATTCTCAAACTGCTTGGGAAGTCTTGGCCCCTGGTCAGGATAAAGGTGTCCTTGGTTCGAACTCTCAAACTGCTCGTAGTGCAAGCAATTCACCCATCCACAACTCACCGCTACCGGATCATGTCGCTATCCAGAACAAAGCACAATGTCGAAGTTTGTTGCGACAAAACAAGGCTGATAGAATGACCATCCACAGTGCAATTCAATCTTGGAAGCGAAGTTTACGGTTAGCCAAAACCAGTCAGCTTGACAAGGGTGTGACTGGATCTGCTCCAGCTGTGCTGGATTCGTCCCTAGAGGCAGCATCGGAGACAATGGCAACAGCACCCACTTCACCGGAAACATGCAACCAGAGCGGCAAAACAAAATCCACCACTGATGGTGCTGTCAAGCAGCCTAGCATCATCTGCGAAGATCTGGAACCAGACCATCTCGCATCCGGCCAGCTTGCAGAGAACGAGATTGATACGACCGGACAGCAGCAGGGACACAATATGTCGATCCAGCGCCAATCAGTGTCAAATGTCCCGACGGCATCGCCTCTAAGGCCCAAAGATCTGAAACTACAGGGCAACAGAAAACGTGTAGGTTCCAATAACTCCTACATGCTTCCCATAGGGGACGGGTTCACATCACCTGGGCTTAGTTATTTGTCGGTGGACTCTGATATATATGCGTCCGTGCCTCCCGAGGGTACGCGGCGGTGGAAACGGCATTCTTCTCAGATGGACAGTATTTATTCCATACTCCCTGGAGTGTTTCCGAGCAACGAGAATAGTGAAACCGATCACTACTATCTGACGCCGTGTATTTTGAGTATCACGGAAAACGGGAAGACTGTGTGTCCACCGCGATCCCCTACTTCATCCCGCGTCAGTCCTCTTACTTCATCCTCTGTCAGTCCTCCTGCTTCACTCTTTGTCAGTCCTCCTGCTTCACTTGCTGTCAGTGCGCCTGCTCAACTCTCTGTCAGTCCTCCTGTTGCTGATGATGATGATGACGTCATCGATACAGCAGCAGTCACAGTGCATATTTATCCCGTTCCGCAGACCAGTGACGACACGGGGTAGGTTACGACTGACGATTGTGTCATAGCCGTCGACAGGTGTTGGCACGTCAGCCAGCAGCGTATCCACACAACTCAGGATATCACTCACCCACCGGCATGTGAAAAGAAACTATGCATCGTAACGGACCCTCCATCTGCACCCAAATACAAAAGTCCACATGCAGACATCAGGATCACAGTTGTTCTGCGCCTACCGCCAAGACAAACCATCTTGAAGACAGCCGGCAGATGTATGTCAGCGAACGATGAACCACACAAGGCAATACTCCTGGTGCTAAAAGATCCTTTTGCGATGTTATTCCATCCGTATAGCTGAAACACGTGGATGGAAATAAAATGGCACAGTACCACTTACACTCGAAACGCCGTATGCTATAGTTCTGTACTAATGCACAGTGCATATGCAAACACACACATTTTTTACATTTTTTTACGAGAAACAACGAACCTCGAGAACATACCCTCCCCATTCCTTGCATATCATACAGATACATTATAGCGCGTCATCCACTTTGGAAATACATGCCATCAGATGACTCTCACTGCAACATGCATTTCTTTCTTTCACTATCGGTATTTTATTCCAAACCCACAGGCTGCAAACAGAAACTATTCTCACGACTTTGCGCAGCATTTCCGTTCAGAATTTATGCAAAAACTGCCAAACGCTCTTCTATCTTTTCCACTCAACGTCTTTTATGATCTCTTCCCGGGCGACCGACAAAACATTCTCCTTACTGTGACTATCTTCATTGATTATTGTTATTTCTGTTATTTTACACGTCGTGCACGCACCCCTCATCGTCCAATAGTTGTTAAATCAGGTACGCAGGCTGATTCATCTCAGGAGATGACTATAATATTATTATTTTTTTCATTCCACATGCGGATGTGGATTTACGATTTGCAGCGGCAGACAAGCCACCGATTCACTATTGTTCTCTCTTATTTTACACATCGTGCCACCATCCTTCATCGTCCAAGAGTTGTCAAATCAGCTACCCAGGCTGATCCATCTTATGAGATGACTATACTGCTTTAGTTTTCCTTCCACATGCAATTATGGATTTGTGATTTACATCAGCAGACAAACCAGAAATTCTCTCCCAGGCCAGGCCGATTTGTCTGCGCCGCAGTTCCGTCGAGGGTGGTTTGTGATTGTTGGGTGAGTGGAACTGGAGTTACAACCTGAAGAACGTGAAAATATGCAGATTTTTGAAATTTTCCCTGCGGCTGGTAAAGGGTTAAATGTTTACAGCTGGGTGGGGATATGAACGTATTCAGCAGCTCAAAGGGTTTCCCAGAACGTGGAATGGCCCGAGTAACTGACATCGTCCCTGCAATTTCAAATCAGTTTGTTTATGTGTAATTGCCCGGAGTGAAACTTTTATTGTAGCCTCATATCACTTCAGAGCCGCAGGCAGCAGATGTCAACAGGTCCACGGCACAGTTAATTCGCAACGTACCAAAAAAAGAGAAGAAAAACACGAGAACGAGTTATGCAGCATCTTTCTATAACAAGGAGATACACAGTCAGTGTGCGGGATAATACGGCACACACTGACAGGCTACTGAGACATTCATAGACGCGGGACCTAGCTCTAACACGTCTCCAGTGCGGAAACCAACAGCCTTCCAACTTGGAATTGCATGCATGATCAACAGCGGCTTTCGCCTTTCAATGTGATTGAACACAAGCTACATTGTACGGTAGTAGCAAACCATTGCTACCGTATTTCCTCGATTAATGGACCATGCTCGAATAATATACCATGCTCAAATAGTAGACCCTACTAGAGGCCTCACAGAAAAATAGTAGACCATGCCCGAATAAGAGACCTGGTCTCTTATTTGAGTTCATCGCTTTGCGCATGCGCACTAAGAAAGCACGTGGTGGATCAAAAAAGGACGCGTTTTTAGGTTGCGCAACTACAATTTGTGTAGTGGCTAGTGCTTTCATTCATTATTTGAGCACGGTCGACAATATTTTTGAATTTCATCGGCACATCACTGGAAATGGTGGATTTTTAACACGTCATGACTTCATAATATAGAACTTATATATTATAGCTATGAAAAGTATGAATGCCGCAGACATCACCACGCAACATGACAATTTCTTCAAGGTTTGGTTTTGTGTGTTTCCAAAATCGATTCTCACGCTCCGATCATCAGTGGAAATACGGAACTAAAGAGATCAAGGGAAAAACAAAGGTTAAAAATCCAAATCCGATTGTCACACTTACTCTTTATTTTAGTTCTCACTTTTTGTAATACTTACCACTAGTTACCAGTCATGTGTCACACTTCTTTGCATTTTTAACCTTTGTTTTTCCCTTGATCTATCTGTTTTTGTTCCGTGCTCGTCATGGTTCTAAGTTGCAGTTGAGTGTGTTAGAAGCTGTTTGTCAACGTATTCATAAGCCTAATCTGTGTGGCCAGAAGGACAGCATTATTCGTTTTGAAATTGTTTTAGTAGCAGCTTCTTCTGTCTGTTTGGCCCTGGTTGGCCAGGGTGTCATATCTTGTGTCACAGTATACTAGTAGTCCTTACAAGTTCGTTAAGTGCTTTCGCAGTTTTTCCTGTTATTACATTAGTGCTAGGATTATCATTTTCATAGGTGTTGTTTCTTCTCACTCCATTTCTCTTTATTAGTATCTTTCTGGATTGTTTTCCATTAGTACAACGTAGCTTCCTGAGGATTATTGTGCGAAAACTAGTTCGAAGTACAGTTTTTTGTTCATCATTTCTTCCATATCACATTTTTCTTTCTTCCATGTTCTTCACTCCCTTCGTATCCACTCGTTTTTTGAATACAATAAAAGCCTTTGTGAAATGTCAGTTCAGCTCGTTCTGTTGATCGCAATTCTAAAACTATTGTCGCCTCGACGCCTATTTACATTATTATTATTATTATTATTATTCCACAATCACGATGAAAGAGTGCCAATAAGCATGTGATGCGGGAGATTTGAACCAGCCTTACAATCAACTCGTAAAAACTCCAAGTCAATCTCCCATTGACACAAACCTCGTTTAATCAACATAATCATATCCTATCCAATAAAAACAGTTCATAAAAACAGTTCATAAAAACAGCTTTTTAGGATCGGACCCAGTCCGCATAACCAAGGGGACCTCGGTTTTTATAATAAGTCTTCAAAGTACTTTGAGGGTGCATACGGAATGCTATTTTGGAAATTTAGTATTGTAGTATCCCTGCCCGACCAGTACGGAAGTAGTACGGAACTAATACGGAGCTTTGCCTGATGTATAGTTAGTGTATCTCCGTATGTGAGCGTACGGCGTCTGCTGCATAAAAGCTGCTGCGCATTTCTGTTTGGATGAGATTTTGATAATGACGAGCTATTCAACCTCCAGGTGTGCACCGGAGAGAAAGTCATTTGCCGCTTCTTCTTTAACTTCTAATATATCCTAGGTGTGTACCTAAGAGAATAATAATAAAAGGTAACTCGTGTTAAGTGCACCGCGCCTACCACTCGGCTACCTGTTACATTGGTGGCAGCGGAGTGTTTAGAAAAAGCAAAAACAAAAAACAACGTGATTCGACCCCAGACCCCATGGCTCAACCTGCTGCAGCTCCGTGCGACGAATCAAGATGAGAATCATGTTTCTTGCCTTCCTGGGCCTGGCCCTGCTTATTAGCCTGCAGCAAAGTCAATGTGCTAGCGTGGATCAACCTTCTCTCCGCACGGCACACACTGGAGACTCCGATGGCGATTCCAAGCGACCCGCTACCTACATGACTACTACCAGTGGTGATGGCGAAGCTGATGAGGACGACAACAGGCAGGCTGCTGCCCAAGACAAGGAGGGTATTCCCCAAGACCAGCACCGTTTGATTTTCGCCGGCACGCAGCCGGAAGCAGGAGTCCACACTTCACTTGGTACTTCGCCTCCGTGGTGGAATGCAGATTTTCATCAACACTCTTTCTGGCTAGACCATCACTCTTTACAAGCGATGCTATCGACAATGTGAAGACCAGGTTTCAAGACGAGGAGGGGGGATGATCTGTCTGACGCCGAGCTAGCCGCTCTGAGTGACCGGCTCAACCAAGATGAAGATAAAACCTGGTTTGCCCTCCGCCGTAGCTCCAGCCGGCGCCGTGGTTACTAACGCTGATTCCAGGTATGGCATTATCTTTCCTGTCTTCCTTCAGTCTCCCTGTTCTCTTCAGTCTTCCTTTATGCGAGTGTGTGAATCCAGTTTAGTTTGGTTGGCGTCTCATAATGGTGAGGCACGGTTTACCTAAGTAACCTGGTGAGAGAAGTGTGTGAGAATCCCCTTTTACACTCCAGGTGTGTACCGGAGTAAGTTCCCACGATGCAGTGCATTTTTTTGAAATTGTGAATTTCCTGGCAGTTAGAGCCCGCGATGTGCAGAAATTTGGCTATCTTTCACGTCCTGTTTGGAGAACCATTCTTTCCCTTTTGACCCCGAGAGATTGTGTGAACCTGCATGGTGTGCTTTTACTTCTGTGTTATGATTTGTTATCAGGTCATTTCTTCTGTCTACTCTAAACGTTATCATTTCCGATATAATTTGCCATCTTCCGGTTGACGCTGTGTATATAACTCTTCACTAATTTTTTTGGAAAATCACGAGGGCGTGATTATCTGTAGGAAGGGAGGGTGTAGTATCCCTGCCCGACCAATACGGAAGTAGTACGGAACTAATACGGAGCTTTGCCTGATGTATATTTAGTGTATCTCCGTATGTAAGCGTACGGCGTCTGTTGCAAAAAAGCTGCTGCGCATTTCTGTTATGGTGAGATTTTGATAATAACGAGCTATTCAACCTCCAGGTGTGCACCGGACAGAAAGTCATTTATTTGCCGCTTCTTCTTTTCGCTCTCCTTGCTCGTAACAACTAACTGTTACTTCAAAAAAATTCACAAACTGCCATGAGTCCGTTTACCATTTTGAACGTGTTTCTATGTCACTGCATGCCCAAAATGATGGGGAAATCCCTCATTCAAATTTGCGCGAGCAGCTATTGAGCGACATTTGCCGCGATTCGACTTTCGAGCTTCGTAACTCTGGAACCACACCCACCAGACCAGGCACAGTGGGTTGGTCAAAGACCATGATTGAGATACGAGAGGTACCTGGTTCAAGTCCTGCCTGGGAGCGGTTTTTCCAGCCGTGCTGCTACCCACAGTCAACTGGGAACTTGTGGCCAGGCACAAGGGGTACATGGATGCAGCTAATGGGGACGCTTTCGGCACTTGTCCCAGTGGTTGTGAGACTTACCCACTCACCCCCACCGTTAGGCGCTGCATCTGCCGCTAGGGTTTATCGGGTGTTAGCGGCCGTCGTGAGTTCCCTTCGGGAACGGATACGATAATTTACTTTTTATTTTTTTTTAACTCTGGAACCACACATCGGAGTGCTTCAGCGATTGTTTCAATGGACAGCTGGGAGTTTTCTCTTTGTCCTACATATTTTAGTTTTCGGATATAACCCAGGAACGACTGAGTTACGATCGATTGAAATTTTGAAAAGTTTCGATCCCAGGGGATCGAAAGTTGTACAGTCCGTACACAAAGGGTTAACTTCTAATCTATCCTAGGTGTGTACCTATGAGAATAATAATAAAAGGTAACTCGTGTTAAAGGGGAACTGTCACCAAAAATTTCTTTGTCTTATCTTGTAGTTCTTTGGCTCCTGATCACGATGGTGTTATTCGTTTTTCTCTGCGATGACTGGAAGTGGGTGAAAACTTGAAAAGAAGGTGCCCAAAATTGTCCCGAAGTACCGAGTGACGTCACGCCGGACTTGACCTCCACGCGTACTTTCATCGTCAAAAACGAAGTCCAGCCAATGTGCTCGTCGATCGAGCCAACTGTTCGATGTACAGTGCACGCTTGCCTTCTGAACTCGGACACTCGATGTGTACTTTGTACACAATGAGAACGCCAAAAAGGGACAAAATAAACGAAAGTCGACTGCAGTTTGTCGCACTGGTACTTCCTCCACGAAGCTCCAGCTCTTTGTTTTATTTGCGATTACGAAGGAGTGGAAGGATGT